ATTGAAAGAAATGGTTGATGATCATTATAATTTCTAAAACATCTCTTAGTAAGCTTTATAGTTTTCTGTAAAATAAATATATTTATTTGTCATTCCTAAACTAACTCCACATATATTTACTTAAACGAGGAACTTAGTTTCTGACCACGCCCATATCTGTTTTTTCTGTTTATTTTCCAAAAGTCCAACTCAATGATGCAACATCTGTCCAAGATGGTTTTCAGTATAGGCTACATTTCAAAATAAATGCCAGTTAGGATTATTTAAATTGCAGATTTTTGTCATTGAATTTGTCGAAATAGCTTGGGTGTATAATTTATTTTTGTTTCTTTCAACAACCTAACACACACTCACAATGCCCACTGAAAAATTGCATAAAATTTGCAACAAAAAGATTTTACTTTTTACCAAGTTTTGCCTGTTGTTTATATATATATATATATATATTTTTTTTTTTATTTTGGCTGTCAACATGCCTTGCCTATGCATGTCCGTCAGTCGAAAAAAAATGAAGAAAAAGAGTTTTGTGTCGGCAGCATTTGTCAGAAATGTCTTACGATTGTCAAGCAGACGACACAAGTTGCGAGGAGAATGAGGCATCTTGTGGGGCATTGACAGCAGAACCCAAGAAAATGAGACTTTTTAATAAAAAGAAATAAACTTTAGCCTAGCCAGAGCCTTTATGCAACACACCGCGAAGTCAAAAAAACAAAAAAGCCAAAAAAATTCACCCGTATTTGCATAAAGGAAAGGTAAGCAAATGTAACGAGTGACAGACAAACGAGCCTACACCTGACCAACTCTTGAGCGACTGCCAGCGACACGCCTACCTCTACACTAAGAGAAATTAGTTGAATTTATTAATTTTTTAGTACAAAATATATTAAAAAGTTATGTAAAGAAATTAGAGCTTATACGATAAGTAAACATAAGTTAAAAGTGAACAATTGAGATGCCCGAATAATTATAATAATAAACATGATTTTTTTTTTTAATAAAGCTAAAGTCAAATTTAAGTACATATTATTTATAATTTTATTAATTAATTTAGTTTAATTTAATTAAAAATAGTAATGATACAGGCTTTCTTAATTTAGAAAACAATTGAAGTTTATTTTAGATTCTAAGGTTTCTCTATTGCTTTAAAATGCATACAATGATGATCTTTAACGTTTCTTTGAACTAATTCGATTTATAAGGTTAAGTTTTAGGTTTCTAGAATTTCTTTTTATACATTTTTTTGCTCTGTGTAGTACGCCCCTTGGACCAACTGTCGTACTGGCCAGCCATTCAATAGATAAAAAGTTTATTTAGCCAACATTTGGCAGCGCCGCTGCGTTTTCCCTCCTTACTCACATTTTTTTTCTTTACTTCTTTTTTTTACTAAACGTTTTGGAATTGACATTTTGACATTTTGGCATAGCAAATTTCGATTCAGCCCCGGCGGGCGGACGGCATCAGTAGCAGTAGCAGTGGCCTGTCCTGGCCAGGAAGCTGCATATGGTGACAGCTGAACAAGCGCGTTGATGGGGTGACAGCCTCGAGTAGGAAGACTGAAAACCAAGCCGAAAACTATTTGCATACGACTAAAGCCAGTGGGTCACTTTAAATTTGATCGTTTAGTTTAGTAATAATGGTAGTGAAAGCAGAAAGATAAGTACAGTAAAAGCAAAACTAAAGTATCTTTAAATTAAGGAAGTATAAAGTGCTGAGAACATAAGACAATCATTCTAGAAGACTTTCTGTTACTTTCTAAACAATTTATAATAATATCCTTTAGTTACAGAAATTTTTCTGACTCTGCAGATCTATAAAGATCTGAATTTGTGTGTCTTTTCCGATATAGCTAGTGACATTAAACTTTTGGCCTGGCCAAAACTCAAGCATCATTAGGTCATGTGAGAAATGGAGACAACTGTACGTGATTCAGTTGCGTTGGCATTGCCCAAAATTAGCATTTTAAACACCTCTTACTTTTGGCCTGATGATGTGGCGGCACTCTCACACACATATGGAGACACAAAAAAAGCGAAACTGTCCCAAATCGTGGATTCTGGCCACTCCAATGGTTTCGTCCTGCCAGCCATCTGCCGGCGGACGCGTGTGTTGCCATTTATGGCCAGGTGAGTTGCTTACATTTTTTGGCTATCAGCAGACAACCAAATCGAAATCGAGAGAGTCTTTTTGGCTTCCTCACTTTATATGGCCTGGCCAAAACTTTCAATTAACACAAGTCTTCGTAGTCGTCGTTGTCGTAGCATCCTCAGCTGGCCTACAGTTTGGAGGCAAAACGTTTTTCACGCTCCATGACCAAGTTTGGTGTGCCAGAAGACCAGGCCACATTAATTGCCGAACGGGACAGGATTTGTGCGGTCTGCGTTATTAACACCAAATTAATCAAAACAAGCGTTTGACAGCTGAGTGATTTGTGCCCGCGCCGTCCGGAGTTTGTGAATTAAACTTTGGCGCCATAGTCCCACCACAGCCACAGCCGCCTCGTTGGCCTGGCTTGAATTTTTTTCTAATTATGTCTTGGGCCCACTCCCACTTTGTCCGCATACTCGTTTATGGCCAACAGCCGTCTTGCCTGGCAAGTGGAAATCTCGTTAAAGACCAACTTAAATCGGGTTCGAAGTTTGTCGGCCTTTTGGCTTTGATCTCCGAGTCTTTAAACGCGTGCCGCCGGCAAAGAGCTGAGAAAAGCATTTAGCTGTCGCGATCAGGACAGTTTTGTATAAGTAAATAACTTTGCCTTAATTTCTTAAATATTTATTCTCATTAATTATAATAAAAATATATATAAATGTAAAGATTTATTTATAAAGTACCACATTTAACATTTATTTTAAAAGTTTTTCAAGTGCTTCTCACAATACCCATAAATCTTTGGCGGCAAATTGAAACCGCTGATTGAGTAAATGAGCTAGTGATTGACTGAGTGATTGAATAGCTGGTAGCCAAGCTATAGTAACTGATTGAGGGCGGAGAAGGAGGTGGAGGGGGAAGTGGAGTACGATGCATGTGATTAAAACAGCGCTGCCATAATTCGGATTTAATTGGCTTGACGCGTAGCGTCGCGTGCTGCCGTTGCTATGGCTATATAGCACCGGCTATATACCCTGCCATTGAGCGGAACTCGGTGGGTGTTGTGTGTGTGTGCCACATACTAAGCAAACATGAGCATAATGGCAATTTACACACACTGCCACGCGCGAATACACTCGCACACTCGCACATACATCGTGGCGCAATTAACATGACATGTCGTACGCTTCGGCCTGATTGGGATTGGAGACTGGGAACTGGGAACTGGTGACACGGAGTGCTGAATTCAATTCAAAGGCGACAAGGAGACTGCGGGACACCAATGGCCATGGATCACGGGGATACCAATTCGTGGCCCCGGGATACATGGCGATTGCATTAACCACAGGAGGAAGCTGTGTTCAATGCTGCAGGTGAAAAAAAGGTAAATATGAAATAAAAACAGGCTTTAAAGTACTCTATGTGAATTAAGAAATAAAGATTTATCAGAATTATAGAAATATAAAATATATGGATATATAGGAAAGAAAGCTCGTTATGAAAGTTTGCCTTGGTTTGTTCATAATTTAACTTTTTAAAACCATTTTAAATCATTCACTTTTGTTTTGTTTTATGTATTTATTTTTGAAATATTTTTATTGAAAATTATAAGCAATGTTTATTATTCATAGCTTTCAATTTTCAATGGAAATTTATATTACTCATATCTTTTGATTGTCCACGAAAATGTTATTGCATAACAATATTTTATTCACTCTATTTATATTATAAAGTGGGGCAAAACTTGTTCGTATATTGATTAACATAATATAGCTTTCGTTTATAAATATTATTATTAATTTTGAATTTCTGTTTATTGCATAAATCCAAAAGAACGTGATATAGTGTGTGTTTGCCTCTCCATATCTATTATATAACTTTAAAAAGATTTCTTCATAATAATAATAATTTATTTAGGCTTTTAAGAGTATATTTCATTGTAAGACTTTTAATATTAATTTTTTATAATATGAATTATATTTTTGGTAGGTAATTATAATTCTGGAGTGTAACAAGCAAGAAGCCTTTCTCAAGCACTACCTGCCGCCTGACTTAAAATTCGACGAGTGACAACTGGGAGGAGTTGACGTCGCTGCAAAAAGGCGAGCTTTCAACTTAGTAACTGCTTTAATTTTAATTATTGCCTGAGTTGAGAGCAAAACCCCCGCACTCCCCCGGCTCATTTCCACGGCAGTCTGACTAATTTGCCAACAACATGACACCGACTTGAGCGGCTCCGAACCGCTTGATTAAGTCGAAACTCTCAGTCCGGAGGTTGCTGTTGCTGTTGTTGCTACAGTTGCAGTTGCTGTTGCTGCTGTTGCTGCTGCTGTTGCTGATGTTGCCGCTGATGTTGCTGCTGTTGTTGCTGCTGCACATGGCCGTCGTTTTGGGTTTTTGGCATGCGCTTGCGTTAATTAAGCTGCAGTGGAGCTTCGAACGCAGCTGCGTGTCGCTCGGTCGTCTGGTAATCTCCATGGATTATGCCGACACTTCGCTCCCAGAGTCATGTTGTTCTTTGCAGGCTTGTTAACAATATTTCGACTTGTTTGGTGGCACTGCCGAGCCAGTGAGCATCAAACACGCGGCCTGCGGTCCCAATGTTGGCCAAAAGTCACAAGTGAGAACTTAAGCTCGTTCACACAAGCAAAAACGAGATCAATATTAATGGGTTTATGTCATGATATTAAGCACTGCGTTTTTATTTTGATTAAAAAATATATATATTAATTAATGAAAACATAAAATCACTCAAGGAATTATAGAGTACTTTTGATAAAGGCTTTCAGCACATATTTTTGTTTGAATGTTGTTGTAATTATCTTAGAACTTTAAACAACATTTAGTAAATAAAATATGTAAGTTTGTATTTAAGAAGTTATATTTTATTAAATGTATTTTTCCAAGCTAATTCATTTATTATTTTTTGAACTAAAATTTTTACGAATTACCAAAGAAGGACGTCTTAGAACTCAATGGCTTCTTGTAAGAGCTTCTCTGTGCCCGCTGAGCTTTCTATTGACCCAATTACATATTTGCCAATGCAGGCTAGACTGTTGGCCTACAGGAGATGAAAAATTGGTTAAGAAAATTGGAAAATGTTTAACAATTATAGTCTCTAAGGAATACAAACCCTGCAGCGTTTTAGAAGCTCATTTTGGGCATGGGTAAGCTGCTCCTTTCTGCCACCCCAAGTCCTAAGGATGGAAGTCTGCAAGGCTCGATCAAAAGCGAAACTCATGGCCCAGGGCTTGCACAAAGGAATATTATTAATGGCGTTCAGAGAGATCGAAGACTCCTCCTCCGATTGGGCACCACAGCAAAAGAGGACACCTTTTAAATAATAACAATAAAATAATAAAATTAAATTAAAGAGAGAGTAATGTAACCCACCAGGAACAGCTGGCGGAACCGTGCGTCTTATAGACAAAACCGTGGCTAGACCAATGTCCGTGGCTGGATGAGATTTGCTGCTTTGGAGTCCAGGAGTGACCATGCTCGGCTGCAGGAGAGTTCCCTCCAGGAAGATGTGATGATCACTGAGGGCCTTGTAGACACCGGCCAGCAGTGTCTCAGTAACCTTTTGGCAACGATCCAGATCGTGATCGCCGGTGGGCAGGATCTCGGGACTAATGATTGGCACCAGACGCTGCGATTGACAGATGGCCGCATATCGAGCCAATACATTGGCATTTTCCAGAATAGCCTGAGGCGATGGTGTATTCTTGGATATCTTCAGGACACATCTCCACTTGGCAAAGCTGCATCCCTCCTTCTTGTACTGGGAACATCGATTGGCCAGATCATCCAATCCCTGGGTAGTGAACTCATCCTCAGAGCCAAAGAGTGGCGAAAAGTGTCTGTCCACTTTGATGCCCGTCAGGATGCCCTTTTTCTTCAAAACCTCCACAAAAGGCATACCATCGTCTGTCCGCTGATGCAAAGTTTCGTGATAGAAAATCACCCCCGAAATATTTTCCGATATCTTGGGATCGGTGGTGAACAGCATCTGGCGATATAGACGACGATTCTCTTCGGTGTTTTCCACACCAATCAACTGGAAACGTTTCCCCATCACGGCACTGGACTCATCCGCAGCCAGGATACCCTTTCCAGGTGCCACCAGAGCCTTGGCAATGCAGGACAGCTCCTCTTGCAACTCCTTGTTGGGATAATAGAAGTGCGTCGTCATTTTGGAGTACCTTGAATTTAGACGAGAGAAATTTCGAAACCAAGAGAAATTTAGATGTATCTAATTTTTCAAACCCAAAAATAATGAAAGTGTATTTGAGTATTCCAGCATGGCTTTGGGGACCTTTTTTTTACAGTCGTAACAATTTTATAGACCAATTATTCAGAAATTATCAAATCAAGATTCGAGCATTATTATTTATTGTGATACTTTGAATGCTACCTGACCGCTTAGCACTTGCCGCCTCTTAATGACATTCTAATTAGACTTTTAATTGCTTTCACGGGGGAGAGGAGAAAACTTGTAAAGCCCAAAGATTGTAGGGGGAAGATTAACCACAAGGAAGAATAAACTTGCCCCACATTAATTATATTTGACCGCACCGACAATTTCACTTTTTATGAGTTCCACTTTGGACATTTTATGGCAAAAGTTTTGTTAACACAAATTATAAGCAGAAGCCTCCGTGGCCGTGCTTTGTCATAATATAAAAAACCGTGGCGCTACAAAGTGGATAAAAAGGTGATGTTAAATTTTCAGACCATTTGCAGAAAGTAAATTGAATTTTTTTCCCAATTTTCTTCTACAATTTTCTTAAGTGAGAGAGACCTCGGTGTGTCTTCAAACTCAATTGAACTCGGAGTCGATCTCCCGGCTAATTCTAATTGGCGTGGGAAACGCATCGAGTGCTCCAATAGCTCTAAATGGTTCGATGGCTAGACAGTTGCCTAATTTTGTGTAAATTATCGCACGAATTATGAGTCTCGTACGTGAAATTCTCCAAAAATAGCCAAGACAGCCGACGAGCAAAAATTAAATACGATAAATATCAAACAACACGGCCAGCAACAGCAGCAGCAACAATTGCATCGCATTTTGGTTTTGTGTGTTTTTTATTTTTTTATCCCCGATCCGACACCGTCATCAATATTCAAGTTTAGATCCCCCAATTAGGCCAGAGGCAAGAGTCGAGTCAAGTCGAGTCGAGTTGAGTCCGACGAGCCTAATCGCAAAGCCAATAAATATGATCAACTGCGAAAATCCTCAACTTCGTAGCCAGCCGAGATGTCTTTGCACCTAATTGAGCGTGGAGCGGCTGAGCTGAGTCAGCCAAGTCAGTAGCCACATAGTAGCCACTTACGTTGCCTTTGCCGAGTTTGTTACTGCCAGAGTGGCTTAAAAATTATTAATTGATTATCTATAAACGTTTTAATTGAAAATGGATGGAAAACTAATTGAACTAACGCAAGGTGAATACTCTATGGGAATGGTAAAGAGAATGATATAAGAATAATACTGAAAATATTGTTAAAAGGAGAATGATATAAGAATAATACAGAAAATATTGTTAAAATGAGAATGATATAAGAATAATACAGAAAATATTGTTAAAAGGAGAATGATATAAGAATAATATAGAAAATATTGATGAGAAAAGTGGGGCAGGCTTTGAAGTATTTAATATTAAAAACTTTAGGAGGGGAAGGCAGACTTAAACATTCGGGAACATTCACAAATATCAAGAGGAAAAGTTTTGTTTAGGGTTAAGATAAAAATATCAAGATCAATATAAATATATACGGTTGAATAAAATGTACAAAATGTAACTTTAACATGTTGAATTGAACAATATTCCCGAAAAATGTTCTATAATTAATTGTTGTGCTTACGAAAATTCTTGAATAAGTTATAAATACAAATATCAAGCTCAAAAATAATATTATATACCGAAGATTAAAATATCGAAAAGTATAAAAGTTAACTTTAAAATGTTGGTATAATAGAAACAACTACCTAACAATTTTCTACAATTTATTTTCCATTTTTTTTACCGATTATATCTAAAACAACTTTTATGAAGCTGGCATTTGGTTCCATAAATCAAACAAAATTTTATTATTTTGAACAGATATCTTGACGTTAAAATAACATTTAAGATATTTATTTGATGTCGGAAAAGCTTTATTTTGAATTATTAATTTAGTTAGTTCTGTAATTTTGTTTTATTTCCCCATGAATTATATTTCCTTACACATTATTAATCCTTTATTCCATTATTATTCCTTCCATTATCATATTCTTCAAGCAACTTTCAATTCCCAAAAAAAAGTCTCTACCAATTATAAATATAAAACTTTCGGTAATTGGCTTTTTACTAACTTTGGCTATACTTTCCACACACTAGCGACCATTATCGGCCTGTAATACCCAAAGAATTGGTTAGGGAATTCAATAGACAGCCACTTGGCTTCTCCTGTCTTTTCAATATTAAATTGGCCGCTGGTCAGCGTTTAGTCAGTCAGGCGTAATTATTGTTATTACCAAATTAAGTAGCCAATTTTTTCTTGGTCTTTTTCAGTTTTCAGTTGTTTTTTTTCTTTTCATTTTCCTTTCTGGCATCCACTCTTTATCAGACTAAAGCTACCAAACTGACGACTATAATCCGCCGAGCTTGAGTGTTTCCGTGGGTGCGTGGGGATTGGTGATTAAGGGGGGAAACTGAGAAGGTGGCTTAAAGTTACTCACGCTCTGTGTTGGTGCAATTTTTTTACGATTTTGGTTTTTCAATTTTGAGCACAAAGTCGTTTTGACCAAAAACCATACGCAGACAGGCATTATTTTCAAGGAAAATCTCTTCATTTTTAATGCGATGGCAATTCGCATATGTTGCAAACACTTGTAGAAAAGCTAAGGCATATAGAAATGTTCTTAAATATTTAGAAAATATATAACAAAATTAATAGAACTAAATATATTAAGAATAGCTAAGTAAAACATAATCAAAGGAATCTGAAAAAATGCATTTTCCGTTTATTAGTTCTCCAAGAAAAGTCTTAAGGGTATAGCCTTCAAATTTTAGCTTTTATTTGTTTAAGTATTCTTTAATAACTTTTAAGAGTGTATTCCGATTGTGCTTAAGAAAAATCAATAAAATATCAACGAATTTAGCCCGTGGAGGGAAGTCTTGGCCAGCTCTAAATCGACTGAGATTAAATCGAGCGCACATAATCATATTTAGCTTTTTGGCCACAAACGTTCGTGGATGTCAACTGCAGGCCATGGCTTGGCGATTGTCGTGGATCGTGCCGCCATATCCATGTCCGCCTCCAGGTGGACCCTGGCCTAAACACTATACATTTTGGTAGTGGCTGAGGCCAAAAACAATGGCTAAGCGCCACCATCTATGAATTAATCACGTTCATAATTTTTGCTATCGTGTTGCGTTCGTTTGCCGTGTTGTTAATAATTTCTTGTGTTGCTTGTTGTTTTGTTTTTTTTTTTTTGGGGGCCAGTTTTTTGACTATAAAAGGACACAGGAGGAGAGAGAAGGAGCCATCTTTCAGGCCATATACTATTGCATAATTAGGCATACGTTTTGGGGGGTGTTTGCTTTGGCATTTTTTGGCGCGAAAAGGCTTGTGTGTGGTCATGTTGTACCAAACCATTGTGTTTTGAATTTGCATTGTTCAATATGGAAATGAAGAGAAGGCCTGGGTGTTGTGGTTTCCCGTACCTAACACTTTCCACCAATTGTGGGGATTTTATTAATGTATTTATATACATATTTTTCATATTATAAACAATTTGGTATTTCGTTTAAGGCTAAGCCAATCCAAATTTATTTATCCATAACTCACAATTTAGTTTCACTTTAAACATGTTTTTAATAAAAAAGGCTCCACTTAAAATTCCAGCCACATGATCTGACAGACAGGACACGTGCCAAACACATATACTTCAATATCCTAAATCTTAAAACCAACACACACACACTCTTGTCTAAAACATGTCAGACTTGGTGCCCATTTTGTGAAATCTTCATTAAATCAACTTCCAGGCGATTGCACGAAGGACTAAAAAGTTCATCGCCGCCTTCGTGTGCGACTTTACGACCCGAGAAAAGTACGCTTTCCTTTTGGCTTTTGTTTTTGTTGTGTATTTTCAGTTTTCATTAAAATTTACGCATTATCGCATAAGTACTTGGCCCGGCGAGGTGGCGGAGCTTGCCCAATTTTTACCAATTAACGGCGGCCCAATCTCACGTACATCGGCCATGCGTTTGTCGTTGGCAGTATGAGTTTCCATGTAAAATGGCCAACTTGGGTGGCAGTTTCAATTTCGCCACGGATTCTTTTTATGAGCCTGACGGCCTGCTGCTCCCTGCCCCAGCCGTGCCATGCCGTGCCGTGCAGTGTGTTTGCCATATCGCACCCGGCGCATATCAGTCGTTAAAAATGCCTCACATAATTTCGCTTATGTGCGTGTGACATTTAGCACCGAAAATGGTTGCACAGAGTCATCAGTAGGAGGAGGAGGAGGAGGAGGAGGAGTAGGATCTGGAATTTTTGCTGCAGCAGGGATGAAGCCGGAGGACTCGTTTCGACGGAGGTGGACTCAGGAGGCGTTTGGCCGCCGCCCAATAACAATTATTTTTAAACTGTGTGCTGAACAAGCAGTCGGTGGGGGCATCGTCCTGGACAGTGGATACAAATTGTGTGGGCATAAAAAAGGGATTTTAAATTTAAAAAATAATGGAAAATGGAAGGAATTTAAGGGGGAAAATATATGTATTATTTTGTATGTAGTATTCAATTTTAAAATTTAGATAGGAATTTTTATTGGAATTTTAAGTATATTTCGAAGTACGACTTATTATTCTTATAATTTAAAAAGCATTTTTGTAAGAAATATAAGCCAATAATTGGAAATACCAGCCATTTTTCTTATACTTTTATAAAATGTAATATTTTTATAGTTATTTTAAATATATTGAATGATATTTGTGAACCATAATATTTAAACAAACAACCAATTGTAAGGTAGTTATGTCAAAAATCATAGATACATCAAAACTCTAGAACTTTGATTCAACAATCAATTAATAAATCGATATTTTAACACTGGGAAATACGTAACATTAGGTTATATTCTCTTAAAAATATATAAGCAATATTTTGGAAGAAAGAGAAAGGTAGGTTACAGTGGTGAGGCCCGATACTAGGGCCTCCAATTCGAGCTAAGCTCCTTTTTGTTCCAATACAATAATATTTATATACACAGTAATTTTTGAATTTATTTATAAAGAAAATTCCGGTATATATATAAAAGCGATAATATATTTTATGGTATAGTT